GCGCCAGCCCAAGGGCGGCAGCAGCAGCAGCAGCAGCAGCAGCAGCAGGCGGTAGTTGCAAAGTGCATTTGCACTGAGCAACGTGCAGGAAGGATTCCCAGGCTCTCCGTGTCCGGCCAGGGGCAGGGAGCACTTGCAGGACCGTCGCTGCAGCTGGAGCTGGTCCATGATCTTTTCTTCAAATGGGTGTAAATTCGAGGAAAACAACTCTCAGCATTCAGTTTCTTGAAACAACAGGGCAACTCAAACACCTCATTTTCTATGAAGCAAAGCTTTGCGAGGTCTCAGCAACTGCATCTCCTCCATGGCAGCACCTTCCCGCTCATGCACGTGCAGAAATGCTCTGCCTGAGGAGGATCCCCTTGCTCCCCCATCCTTCTCGGTCCAACACTCCCCCGTGCCATGTCTATTTTAGCTCAGGAGTCCATCCTTTGTCCTCCTCTCCGAATGTCCCTGCACCTCATGTCCAACACAGAGAGATGCAATAACCAGTGTCCATGTGAGAAAACAGCCTTTAACCTGGAGACACACGGCCACATGGAGGAGATGCTGAGACCACTCAGTCCCGCTTCCCCGTTACAGCAGCAGATCCACACACTTAGCAAAGCTCCTCAGAAGATTCCACAGGTCAGCAGCGCTTTTTCCACTAGCAAACAGGATGGAGGGTTGCTCCTTTCAAACTTTAAATCAACACAGCTTCACTTTCCTCATGCAAATCTGCACGCACATCATTTCAAGGAGCTTCAGTTTGGAGCTCCGTGTGTGCATTTTTAATTAACATGAAATCTCTACAAGAAAACAGTCAAAAGGACACAGAATTTTTCACTCAAAGTTTCAAAACTTTCTTCCAAGCCCCTTTCCCCGCAAAACACAACACCAATTCCCTAGCAGACCTTACAGGATGGGTATTTTCTTTTTCAAAGATGGGAGACTAGGACTTCATTGCAACTCTTACAGATAGCCCTACTTACAGATAGCCTGATTCAAATACTCCAGAAAATAAATAAATAAATAAATAAATAAATAAATAAATAAATAAATAAATAAATAAATGGAAGAGAGCTTGGAGGAAGTACTTGCGGGAAGGGGAGTCGCTGGCACGTCGCTCTGCTCCCAGCCCCTTCCCACGCACTCTTCGCCTGTCCCCTGGCCTGGACCCGCGCCTGCAGGCTGGTGCCTCCCCGCGGGAAGCTGCTGGCGCCTGCAGGATGGGATGACGTCCACCTCCGGCCACGGGAGGAAGCTCCCCCGTCCCCCGGGCTGCGGGCAGGAGCGGGATCCCAGCACAGAGCCTCCCTTTTGCGCTGCTCCCCGCGGGGCCCCCTGCCATTACCAGCCTCCCACATGGCCTCCGCAGCCCTCTCTCCCCCTGCTCCTCCTTCACGCTGCCTCTCCCGTCGTCATTCATAAGTCATGAGCATCTGGCTTCTATCAGCTCCCTCCAGGCCTGGCTCGGTGCCTCTGTCCTCAGCGCTTCTGGTGGCAGAGCCGGGCTTGTGAGGGACACAGGGCAGCGCCAAAGGGGCGAAACCCCTCTGCCCCGCTTCCTCCAGACCCCCAAGTGACTCTA